TTTTTCTGGAAATAATGTTCTTCCACGTGATTCTATTTTCTCCCCCGTAGACATCTGATAGCCTTGAAAAGCAAGGTATGTGCAATTGAAGTGGCAACTTGAAATGCGATTTCAATTGCTATATCAGCTGGCAGGGCGGGGTAATCCCAACCGAGGGCCATTGCAGCGAATTATCCTGTGAACAGGACTCGAACATAGTGCCTAGTAAATCCCCTTACCGCTCATAACCGAGTTACATGCCCGTTATGGAGTGTCATTCATAAATACGAATGGCATACGTGACTAGCCGCAGCCACGTAGAAGAGGGCTTTGCACCTGACGGAATCGCTATGATATATCCTGCCACGCCCCCGCCCCTCCCCTGTTAGCCACAATCTAATGGACACGGCAACTGTTTGTATTTATTGTGACTGACAATCATTGTAGTTTGTAGTTGCCATCTGTCTGCCTGCGGAAATGTGAAGTGCAGCCATGAGATAACCGCCGCCTGATGCTAATAAAATGTTATCAAATGAACGTCAAGCGGTCCTGCCTATTCTGTTGCCTTTTTTTCCTGCTGGCTTATCCTGGCAGACGCCATCGGTGTCAGGCTCTATGTATGTATCAGATATCCTGAACAATGGATACCAAATACACACGCACACTCACGATGGCCCGTCGATTACGTGGAGAGTTCATTCAACTTCAGCTCGATTCCATAGGCCTACGATACAGACAGCTCTGTCTCGATAAGGCCAAGAAGAAGGACTTCCCGCCGAGGAGGAAAACCAGGCGACAGGGCAGCACTATCTGCCACAGGTGACGCGTGAAAAATTCCACAAGCGCTGGGGATCCGCCATGCAATTTTTTTTTTCACTTTGTCGTTATTCAACTGCCATCGACAGCCAAGTGTCCCACTGACAGTCGACAGTCGCCGCCCCCAAACTCGCTGTTTTCGCCCCACCCGGTTTTTCCATTTTCCTGTGGCTCAGTTTATCACCCTGCAGCCTACACAGTCATGGAAAATCTACGGCGACGACGACGACCTCAACCTTTGGAATTGAGCGATTGTGATGCAGTGAAAAATGGAGGGAGAGATATTATGGTTAGGCAAATATCGAATCGTTTCCACGGCTTCTAACTCAATAAGATGAAACTTCGCAGAAATACATTCGAGTTAATATAAAAAGAAAATCGAAAAAGGTTGGCAGAGGTAATCAATATATGTTTATCTTGGCTTAATAGACAGAAGTATAATTTCCATTTGGGTTGCATTATTTCCAATCAACTGAACCCGCAATGATCAAATGAACTGCGTTTGATTATCTTTAATAAGACCAATTTTATACACATTAATGACATGACTTGACCGCTTTTTTTATTAACTGATGGCACTGAAAGTTGTTTTTTTGTTTTTTTTTTCGGGATAACATTTTTCAGGGATCAATAATAGTAATATTTCTTTATGTAGTGTTTTATAAAGTTTATATTAATTTTAGTTTTAAATCGAGTTCAATAAAAATTTTGCTACATTTCGCTGAAAATTATTATTTACTAGTTTTTTCATATAATGATTAGCCCTTTTTTTAAATAATAAATAATAGCATCTTGAAATATCCTACAAATTTATTCCTATTTGCATTTTAAGCCGTAAATTCTAATAAAATTGATTTCAATCTTTACATTTTTTTAGAATCTATTTCAGCTCATACTACCTCCGCTTTGTTGCAGTGTATTAAATTTCGCGACGAGTGTTACGTCGGCCAGTCGTTTTGTCAAGACAACCGATTGTGGGCACGGCATCTCTATTGTCGCCGGCTGACATCCACTTCATCCTTTCCTTGGTGGCAAGAAAATGGAGGAGGAGGAGGAGGAGGAGGAGGAAGGTCTGGGATGTTTATCAATGCTCTGCGCTTATCGCCGACAACCGCCGCAGTCAGACAAGTGGAAAACTATACACGCCCAGAAAACAAGAAAAAAATGAAAATAAAATAAAAAAAAAGGAAAAATACAAAAAAACAGCCGGATGCGTTGGCTTGACAACTTATTTCAACATCTTGTTGTAGCTGCTCGTTGTGCGCTTCCTATTTTCATTTATCGCAGTAAACTTTTCCGCAGATGGCACTGCAGAAAAGTTGAAAAAAAAGAATAAAAAAGAATAAAAAAAGAAATGAGATGATGGGCGGCGTAGGAGTTGTGCCGTCGCCAAAGTTTTGCCAATACTTTTTGATGCCTTTGTTGCTTTTTTTGTTGTTGTTGTTGGGCCTTTGTGTGTGCATATGAGCAAATATCTTATTGCAGAATGTTTGCTTATATTCCTTATATATTTCTTATTTCTTGTTATTGAATTCGCTACGAGCTGGAAGAATGGCAGCTGCAGAATGCAAAATTGAAAATGTAAAGCAAACTGCGGTGCATTGAATTTTAAGCTGATTGGGAGGGCAAAGAAACCACTCGAACTAAATCAGCTTACTGATGCATTGATTACCTCAATTAAGGTCCCAGCCAGGGGCCAGTAATGAATCGAATTAGTATGTAAATGTCCAGAGATAAAGACCAGATGGCAAGGAGGGCAATTTACCAAGTAGAGTGTTTTACTCTACTTCCTCTTACCATCTACCATCTACCTTTCTCTTTCCCCTACTCTCTCCCCATCTCTTTCTCTTTCCGGTTCCGGATGTTGCTAAACGGTTTATCGCACTTGCCACTGGATTCGGATGGAGAAAGGAGTCTGGAGCGGAAATGGCAATATATTATTAATGTCTATTATAAGGCAGACGAAGCCAATGCGGCGTATGCGCATTTTTTATACTTTTATTTCGTTTTATTCCCCCGTTTTTATTACGGTCCTGCCCCAAGGCAACGACACATTTCTGCCAAATGTTTCTCCATTTATCCTTTGGTCCTGCCATCGCCTTTTTTTCGAACCCCCCAACCCCCCTCCGTTCTCTCCCCTTTTCGGGTTTTCCCGGTTGTCCGGGTTTTATGGTCGCAAGTTGCGAGTCCTTCGTCCTCAGCATCGCTTAATAAGTTTTTATTGCCGCAACTCACGAAAAGTGGGTGGCAGATGAACGTGTCCCGGCAGCGGTCGACCAGATAATCAGCACGAGTTTCAATTTCAATTTCGAATGGCCACCTGGCCACGCCCACCAATTAACACAGGCGAATTCCCCAAATTCTCGCAGGATTTCCACGTTTTATTATGGCATTGCAGTCGATTTGCGTGCGGCAATCGCGTGAAGTTATTCCACAACAAAATCATTTTATGTTCAACAAAATAATAATGAACTCTTGCATACCTGATTTTTAAATTAACTCCTCAATGCTTTAAAAAATCAGCGAATATACCGAAAATTCCTTTCCGAAAGTATAATACAAATTTTGATTTATATTTTGACAACATTTTATTTATTTTCTCTGCACACATCTCTCTTGCTTGATGAACATATATTCCCTACATACAATATCCAAGTTGGTCTCAAATCAACTGGAATATCGTAAGCAAGCCACATTCTTTTTTTTTCGTTTCCTCCTTTTTTTATTCATACCAAAATATTTTCGCTCATATTCGTATTTTTATGGCAAAGGGACGTGCTCCCCTGAACAGTTTATGTATGAGTTGGCACGGCCATCGATAAATCTTCTTCGGAAGTAAAAAAAAATAATAATAAAAAGAAAAACAAGTTAAGCTACTTTTGTCATACTAGTCCAGCGAGCCAGGGAAAAAAACTTGAAGAGGGGGAAAAACGAAGTTGGAAAAACACGGTTCGCTGGAGAAAACAAAACGAAGAAAGATCAAGATGGAAAAACTAGTTGAATGATGGAGCAAATTCAATGATGTTGGGTATATACTTGAGCGATTTTTATCTTTTAATTGGCGAACATTGCTGGACAACAAACATAATCGGATGGGGAACAATTTTATTGGTCTTAAAATGGAACTACCAACAAGATTGATTTAAGGATTATAAATTCTTTATTCTAGTCTCTCTTCTTTGTGTATTTTAAAAGCATTTGATTTATTTTATTTGTATTATGTTGAGACACATTTTAAAGCACTTAAATACTTAAGTTAAGATAAGAAGATGGTATTATCTGTCTAAATAAATTAACGTACAAAATTAAAGTAGAAATAAATCAAAGGAATTTAGTTTAAATTTTGTAGTGCTTTTTAATTTAATCAAGGACTGTCTTTTATTTTCTTCTTATCCCTGAACAACTTAAACCATCTCACCCTTTATTTTCCACCGAATAGTAGCGACTAATCCCCAGCTTGCTTGGCTCCATCAAATCCTTATGAATACTTTGCCCCCTCGAAGTGAAACAATGTAAACTCCCCGCTGTCGTAAACCACGGAAAAGGGGGGAAAGGGGGAAAAGTGGCACCCGGAGGGCAAGATTTCCGATGGCTTTGTCTTTGGCAAATTGCTGCCGTAAAAGCGGGTCCGGCGGTAAGCGGTGGCTTAACATCAGCCGGATCCGGATCCGGAAAAAGCGGCGACCTGCAGCCATATGCACTTAAGATGTCACACGAAACTGCAGCAGAAGCCACATGTGCGGCATGGCCATCCACTGGGTGTATATCCTGTGTATCCTGCGACATGTCCTCTTCCTTTTTATATGCGGCCATAACTTTTTACCCGGCCCTGCCCTTTCACCCCGTTTACGGTTGACCACCGATTAGTTCTTTCTTCTCGCACTTTATGACCCAAAGTAATAAAGAGAGAGAAAGAGAGAGAGAGAGAGAGGTAAGAGGGGGAGGAGATTTGGGTGGGGCCACATCGGCGATATTGATCAAAAGTTCAAGTTGGCATTTCCATATTGCCATCCTATCCACTTTCACTAAAAGCTTTCCCACAAAAGAAGAAGTGCCGGCATTTACTAAGCACTTGACCAAGTATTTGTCAACCCGCTTGATCCAGTAACCCACATGCTAACACGCCACACACCCCACACCCACTTCCGATCCCCTTTTGAAAAACGCTTTCCCCCCTTTCGACTAAACGTGTTCAATAAACTTACCAGCCAGCAATGAGCATTCAATTAGTCGCACTTTCTGCAATGAAATAATAAAAGCAAACATGAGTCTTGGGTGTACTTCTAAATGCAGACAGAGAAATTATCAAGAAAATATAAATATGTATATCCTTATCTTAAACATACGTTTTTCTGTACAAAAAAGTATTTTAAGTATTTCGTAAGTCCTGCAATCTTAAAGAACTGAATACGATTAGTTTTGTTAAAATATTCTATTTGCTCAACGTTTTCTATGTGTAAGAGGATTAAAATATGTAATATGCTTTTCTTCTTTCCCTTTTTAATATTTTAAAATGTTTTATTCGTATATTCCGATGCAAACAGATGTCGTTGTCTTTTCATAACTTAAACTAAAATCACAAGAGCAATTACCAATAACTCCCTCTTAAAAGAAAAATACATTTTTGGAGTATATGCAGAACACTTAGAATTAAATATTATTCTTTTAAACTTTTCTTTACAATACCAACATTGATTGAAGATTTTTTTCATAGTGTTATAATTTCTTTCCATTTTGCCGTTTTCAAAAATACACAGAGAGCCCCAAGGAGCCAGCCCCGAGGCAAATTCAAGGCAAGTCGACTGAGCACAGCTGCCTGCATCGGGCAAATAGATTAAACTTGTCGGGCCAGAACCCAGGAATTATTCGAGGCTCCCGCCGCCTTTGTTCCTGGCCTCCTGCCTTGTGCTGCATTTTAATTGGGTTTTCTGCCATATTCGATTTCAGAGACTTCTTGCCTCGCCAGCATATTCCGCAGCCAAGTCGAATGCAAATCCTTGAATAAAATCCTTAAAGTGGATATTCAAAAACATGGAAATCAGTTGGGTGGCAAAACTATGCTGCCAACATAAAGTTAAAGAGCTTCTTGGTTATCAGATACTTTCAAACACGTTAACATGCTTGAAATCTAATTAGACCATTCTTAATAGCTTGTAGCTTCGGAGGAATTAACTTTCAATTATGAAATCTGATTAAACACATCACCAGATTTAATCATAAAGTTTTCCTTTTTTCCACTTGCCAAACTAAATAATTATTTTCTATCACCCAGATGCACTTTGCATTTTGCTTGAGCCTTAAACCTTACAGTTTGTACTAAGGAGATTAAATAAACAATCAATATTTTGAGATTTATGCATATATATCAAAGATGTATGCAAGACCCAAGGCAATTATTCAACAACTAGCGAAGAGTAAATAACCTTCTTTACATGATAAAATGGACAATTTGCTGCCTACATAACTTAAACAATCGACAAACAAAGAACCAGTTTTCCCCCGTTCTGTGCAAACAATTCATTTATGGAAGTATCCACATTTTCGAGCTCCTAGCACTTAATTGCGGCTCTTGTTTTAATTTACGTACATTCAAACATTCCACTTGAAAGCTCTTCCAGCTTGAATTACACATAAAAATCGGAATGGAAGAGGAGAGTCTTTAAATATTTCGAACAAACAGCGGGGAAAACAATTCCCTCAATGCGAATTTTATGCAGTGGAAACTCAATCAAAGGCAAGACCAGACAACCAACACACAGAGGAGGATTTTTCCGGGCTTTCCACGCCGAGATACTTTCCTCACTGTGTGCGTATTTCGTATGCCTTCTCAACCGCACACAGATACACACACGATGTAGAGATTCAGATGCAGATACAGATGCAGATGCAGATGTAGATTCATTTGTGTATTGGAATGCATATTTCGAGCACGCTTCTTTGGCTTTTTCCCCACATTCCATTTGCATTTTCACCGCTCTGCTTGACAGACTCATTTTGAAATAAGCCCAGTTCCGATCTGCAGGAACTTTCAACTGCCTCTACCTGTTGAAATTTCCTCGTGCCGGGTGTTTATGGCATATCTTTAATGAGTAGTTTCCCTAGGTATCTGCCTCATTGCCCTCGTTACCTCATCGGGATCAGTTCGCCGTGTTCATCTCCGTCGTCTAATGCCACTTTGTAAGTGGTTATTTAGCGTAAGTAATGCAATAAGTCTGCCTCCTTTCTGTCCCTTCTATATATATTTCCTTTTACACGAGTTCGTTCAGCTCCTTGTAATCCCCACCGACGAGCACCGAAAAAAGGCGACGGGGAAAAGCGCAGGAAAACTATTTTCCACGGCTGGCGCAGATGGCATAAGTAACTAAAAGATGGAACTGCAAAGTGAATTAGTGCGACGCGAATGCGAATGCGAATGCGAATGCAGCCTGCACTCTAATTCATTCCATAGAATTTTAATTGGCTTCGTGCCGAACGCAAAGTTTAAACAGGAGTTAACTTTTTTCAGGTGTTTTCCAATTGTTGGTAACAAAAGAGCAAATGTTTTCGCAGCTTTCTTTTTACCACCTTTTTCCTTGGCCAACTTTTGGGGACACTTTTTCTAAGCGAATGACGACGGCATTAAATGACAAAGTTTTTCCTTCATCGCCATTTAAAATGCATGAGCAGCGGTAGTTGAAAGCAGCTGGAAATAGTTTTTTCTTAAACCAAATCTGCTTTTTCCCACTTCTTTTTACAATCTAAATGCAGTATTTCTTTGGCTCTTCACTTGATGGTCATTAGCTACGTAATAATTAATTAGCAGTTAAATGCAGGAGGTTCGTCGAGTTTTTCTTTAACCAACGGATTTATAAATACAAGAGAAATGACATTACTTTCAGCCGTTTTTTGCTGTTAATAATTTATAAGGAGGGAAATGCGGTTTTAAATGGCAGGAGGTAAAAACTGAAAATTAAATTGCAGCTTATTTTAATTAGTTGTACGAAGTATTCATCCCACAATTGAAGAATTTAGCTGCCTACATAAAATTGGTTTACTTTCGAGTGTTTTTAATTAAAATTCAGAATTCGCCTTGACTTTTCAGCTTTTAGCCACAAAGCATTAAAGTGCAGGATAATTAATTACTTAATAGGTTGACAAATTGACACTTGAACCTTGTGAGTCAACATTTGGTTACTTAATATACTGCACTTGGAAGTTTCCTAATTGATATTTAATATGCTTGCCCATTGATGTAATTAAAATGTTTCTCGTTTCCTATCAATTAAGTGACGTAATTCGGCAGAAAATCCGCATGAATGTAAACTAATTTCGAACAAGAAAACTTTAGTTTACAGCTGAAATAAAATTTAAATTCATTGGCCACACCCAGCGATAGTTAAAAACCTTCGATGTTCGATTCTGGCCGTCGAGACAACTGTAAACGCTCTATATATGGCTGCTAGTCCATAGAAATCGGTCGGGGAAGGGGATTGTGTGCCATAAAGAGACACTGACTACGTGACAATAAAATGAAATGTGTAATAGCCGCTGACGGCAAAAAGCTAACAAACTGGCGAGCAGATGGAGCTCACGCTGCTCGTTTTTTTTTTTTTTTTTTTTGTATGATTTTTGTGGTTTTTCCGGGGCGGAGGGAAAACTAGAGAATTGCGAATGCAACTGCAAGTTGACAAATTTATTTTCCATGGCGATGGCAGCCGGCAGAACGCGACTCGAGTGCAAATGAGCAAAAGGAGACACTACAAACATGGCCAGTGAAAGATGGAGTTGGAGTTGGAGATAGAGATGGCGATGGGGAATTTGTGGAATCCACAGTTCGGAATTTGTCGCATTGTCGCAATATACAATATATATGTGACACAAAAGACACTGCACAAAAACGCAATTTCATTTGCAAAATAAATAACGTGAAGCGACTGTAAATATTTAGCAGCCTTTATTTATAGTGGAGCATTAAAGGGAGTTTATTGTGTTGTAAAAATAAAAAAATATCTCAGCTTTTTATAGCTTTTACACATAGCTGAATAAAAGAATTTATTTGGTTTGCATAAAGTGGGCGGGTAACATGAAATTCCATTCATTTTGTTTTTTTATTTTACCCTTTAAAACATGAGTAAAATTAATTGTAAGAGAAGCCCAAAGGCAATTAAAACAAACATGAGTTAAGTCTGATGACGACAGGAACGGAAAAGCCTTTGATCCTTTAATAAAATGTAACAAAAGGTTTATTTTTGTTATTAAAATCAAAGAGGAGAAATATTAAAAATAAAGATTAGTGTATGTAAATAACTTTTATAAAGCTGCGATAAAGCCAAAAGCATGATTTATTAACAATCTACTTAATATATAATCAGAGAACTTTATGACATTTTGTTTTTATGCTGGTAAACAGTGCAAATATAATTTTATTTTAACAATTCTTATTTCTCAAAGAAGTAATATTGATTAACCAAGCCTCCTTTACATTTTTAAATTTGGTAAACTGTTCATTCTAACATTTAGAAACAATTGTTTGCAGTCTAAACCAATTAATATTGCATTTTACCAAGACGCAGTTCAGGCTATATTTCTCTCCCATTCCTTCCGCTTTCCTTCCCTTTCCCTCCGTTTTCCATGTCTCCATGTCTCCATGTCTCGAGACTACATGAAAAATGAATTGTGCCTGCAGAGGGGCCAAGGTTGGGCTGAAAACTGTAAGCTGAAAGCCAGCTCCCACTGGCGGGAATAAGCTCCTGGCCAAGAGGACCATGACTCGGCCGGAGCAGACAGGCACGAATTTAATAAAACGAGAAGGAATAGGAGGCAGCAAGAGGATAAAAAAGGATATATGTATGGGAAGGAAGCAGGCAAATATGCGAAACATACGAGCGGAAGCCGGGAAAATATGCAGCCCAATGTGCCGAGGTGTATTCTCCGCCAGCAGCGCCACCTGTTGCCCGAATGCCGCACTTCAATCCAATCGAAATTGCTTAGCGGAAGCTAGGGACATGGGAATATCGGGGGAAACAGGATATAGCGTATAGGGTATAGGGTATAGTATACAGTAGTAGAGTGGCGAGGTGATGGGTTTAACAGGAGACAAGCGACAGGAAGCGGAGTGCCAGTGAAAATTTCATTTAAAATGTGCGCCATAAGTACGCATTACACACACTCAATTTCCTTTTCCATTTTCCGACGGCCAGCTCTTCGTGTTCGCCTTCAAGCGGAAGCTTTTGGTCCACACATGCGGCGCTTTTCCAGCT